GTATACTCTTTTTAGTACTCTTGGTCCAAAACACTGAGTGATGTATGATTCAATATTTTTGTTTTTGCGCTCTTGTTTTGGTATAAAGAAGCACAAGAACATTAGGAAAATGTTGAAATTAAATGAACATATCTTTTACAAAACATTTCATGAAGCACCTTACATTTCCTTCGACAAATGTGCAATTTACTTTTATCATTCACATATATGCATTGCAACTGATCCCACTGATTGTACAAACTTTAACAAGTAATTGGTTTTGAAAAATATAGTAATGCACTTTAAGATTAAACGAGATTTATCAAGAAAGGAAGTTTTAAACCATTTACACGTGCATATAAAATCTAAATGTAATCCCTGCCTACACCTTACAAACTAAGGAGCGTGCTATTAAATGTGTAAATGTGAGAGTGCTATTGATAGCGTCTGCTGTCATGGGTCTGTCTCAGTGATGGACTGAGGCTGCTGTTGTCTTCTTCTCTGATCAAAACAGTGTCCCTAGCGGATACTCAATGAATTGCACCTTATTAAAAATATTTATTCTGTGTCTTTTATGCATTTTCTTCACTTTTAAATTATCCTGTGGGGCCTGATTGAACGGCCCGCGGACCGTATGTTTGACACCACTGCTTTACATAATCATCTCGCGGGCCGGATTAAAGTCCTTTGCGGGCCGGATACGGCCCGCGGGCCGTACGTTTGACACCCCTGTCTTAGAACCATGAGTGATGCACTGAGTAAAATAATGGCCACGTGATGCGGCACAGATCCCGCAGAATGAAGAAGAGTTTGAGCTTCACGATAGTTCTTAGACACTGGTGAGTCCAAGAGAGGTAAAATATTTGCTCTGAAGCTTAAATTTATTAATACATATACATTGTGAAAAAAACGAGAACTTGGCCGTAAATGGACTTACAAGGTTTCCACCCAACATTGATGATTAATAACGATAAATATCTTTTGCTTCGTCGACATAATTGTGCAAAACATGGCCTTTGTTGGGTGGACAGCAAACATACCTCTCAGGCATCTACAAAAACAGAAAACAATTATTCTAAATCGTTTTTGATTAAAATGACCAATTCAATTGGCTGGCGACCAATTCAGAGTGTATCTAACCTACGGCCCTAAATCAGCTGTATAGGCTGCACCACGGTCATGACCCTCGGGAGGATAAGCGACATGGATAAGAGATGGATGGAAGGCCAAGTCAATAGAGTGAAATGGCTTAGAAGAGTTTTGAGGGTGTTCCACAAGATTCCTTCCTCAGCCCGCTGTAGTTGTTTTTTTTCTTACTGGCTATAAAAGTATTCTCCTGACATCAAGATAGTACATGTTCCAAAGTAATCCCACACCCATCCATGCTGTTTCATGGAAATTAGTGAAGTCCCTTCCCACCCTGGCAGAGGATACAAAGTGCACTTTGAGCTGTGTGTGATGTTTTCTTGGTGTGTGTGTGTGTGTGTGTGTGTGTGTGTGTGTGTGTGTGTGTGTGTGTGTGTGTGTGTGTGTGTGTGTGTGTGTGTGTGTGTTACGCAGGACTCCAAGCTTCCGGTGTCTCTGAGGAGCAACCTGGTGGACCTGTTCAGTCAAATCGAGAGGGAGTTTGAGAACCTTTACATTGAAAACCTCGAACGTAAGCTTTCTTTTAAGTCATAATAAGCGCGTCTGCTTTCCAACTGTCAAATAACAAGATGGTGGACCCTGTCCTCACTTATCTGCTGAAAAACATTTTTGTTTTTGTGTCCTGCCTAATATAAAAATATCAGTTCGTCTCTTTGGAACTTAGTTGTCGTGAGGTGAGCCTTTGTAGGTGATTGCAAAGCTTTTTAGACGGGCGTCAATGACTCTCATCTAGGTGTTAAACACATGTTGTGTTTGATGGACAGTTCGCCGAGAAATCGACACATTGAACGAGCGTTTGGCTGCCGACGGACAGACGGTGGAGGGTGTGGACTTGACCAAAGGAGCGCTGAAAACAAAGAGTGAGTCGCAGCAGACATTCTTCTCTTCTAAGCATTTGATTTTTTAATTTTTGTATTTTTTAACGTTGCTTTGTGACCCATACAGCGAGTCACAGTACCAGTCAGCTGTCACAGAAGCTGAAGACAACCTACAAGGCATCCACGAGCAAGGTAGCATTTCTTTTCACCTTCACATCATCATTAGGCGTCTTTCAGCCAGTAGGGGGTGCTGAGGAATCTTTTCAGAGTGTGATCTCAGTTGCACGTAACAAGATTGGTCATGTTCAGACCAAACAGAGATGTCTGTTTTGTGGGCGTCATCTAGGGCTACATTAATATAAAAACTTAGAAGTAAAGATAGACTTACAAAAATGGTAATTTAATGGACAAATGAGAGGATGGATATAGCTCACTCAGAAAAGCACTTTCTCAGCCATACGTACTGACCATCATGATAGACAGTTTCTCAACAATTTTTATAACAGCAGTTGTGAGAGACATGTCTACTAAATGTCATGTTCGGTAACAAAAAATGGTGAGAGCACAACTGTTTTGTTTTGTTTGTTTGTTTTTTGTGGCCTCCTCTGCTCGTAGCCGCGTTCAAACTCTTGCCACGCTCCCATCGTTGGCGGCGCCCTCAACTTCAGTGTGAGCGGCTGGGAGTTGTGGGGTGGAGACTCATGGGTAACTTGTCCATTTGTTCCCCTCAAACCCTTCACGCCCCCACCAACCAACCCGCTCCCTCCGTGCGCTGCCACTCATGAGCAGCCCAGCACTCGGCTCCACTCGCCCTCCCCCAGAGGCTTGCTCATTCAAATGTAGGACTTGAATTCAAATTTATGATTAATTACTCATAATCTTAACTCACTAATAAACAACATGAAGTTGCTTTTCTCGGGCTGCTACAATTTTGAGAACCTGACGTAAAACTAATGCACTTTCATAATAGTGCTCATTCTAGAACAGGAAGCCGTGGGTACAGGTAATGTACATTCACACAATTTAAAAAAATTGAATTAAATGACAAAATATTCAAACAAACATTATCAATCTGTCTAACCAAAGTTCTTTCCCTTAAAGCTAATATAATGTGAAACACCATTGATGTGGGAATGGAATTAGCGTCACCCAATCGATCAAAACATGTTCTCTGGGCATCCATATTGCTTTCATCAACAAATGGCCGCATTGTTTCAACCTAACATCACCATTTTGGATGTTGTGTTAAACGGAAACACACCACAAGTCAGTGTGCATCCGTTGGCTTTTTCTCACTTCCATCCAGCCGCCACAACTCAACAATCATAGTCACACTCTGCCTGTGCGTGGGAATAATTGTGTGAGGTGATGCATTTGCCCTTGCGTGCATTTAAGTGAGTATGTAAAAGTTAGTGTGAATGAGTGCCTGTGTGTGTGTGTACATTGGTGGATGTGCATACATGAACACGAGTGTGTGCAAGTGTGTTAAATGTTCAGTTTGTGACATTTGCCCACTTTGTTTCAGTTGGAATTTATTTAGTGGCCTGTGTCCAAAGCCAGCCCAGAGTCCAGTTTGTATCATTCCCGTCTTTAAAGTAAACATCTCAAGTATTCTTAATATTAATAATAATAATAATAATAATATTGTTGACCTGACTGACAACAATCGCAAATGTGACTTATTTTTGATTTTTTGGGGGGAAGGGGGGTAATCCTGCTGTGCCCACCGCTGCTTTGTTCATTAAAGTCCACTTCAGGTCCCACTCAAAGGGTTTTAATGACCAATGGGTTACGTGAAGGTGCACATGTTTATAATCAGCTAATCCTTATTAAAAATCTTGAATTATTAATTATTTAACATTGCAGCTGTTGCTTCTTTAGCCTTGGCTCGACAAGACCCCTGCTGAGCCCTGACCCTCACTTTCTTTCATCCACTTCCTGCTCGCAGGGTTCCTATGCAAGTCTTCATACGACTGGAGTGAGCAAAATAACTTTTGATATGACATTTCACCCAACAAAAATACAAAAAAAAAAAAAATACATCATATTCAGCAGAGATGATTTTTATTAAATGTGTAGATTTCTCGAGCTGCCTTTGTCTAGTCCAACTTGCAATCAGAAGAAGGTAAAATGCTGATGCGGCGAAACTGCATTACTACTGTATAGTGCGTGCTATTATTTAGAATGTCGGACTTTGAACAGGATGCTGCCGTAATAAAAGCCTGCATTCTGGAATACTCTTCGCCAAACTTGTAATGTGCATCTATTCCAGGAAAGCAATGACTGTTTTGCACTTTTTTTAAGGGGGGGGGGGGTCGAAGACTCAGTGGTTATAGAAAGCCGGGACAAAATTTAGACCTAACAAAAAACTGGAAAAACTTGAAAACTAGGGCAATGAAAATCAAGGTTCCAGTATATTAACTCGTGTAAAACAGTTCTACATTTGCCAACTGAAGTATAATCATGCCCACCAGTCCAGAAGTGTGTGTGGACTTGTATAGGAACCCTGCAGAACTCCCACGTGCTCTACTAGTTAACTATGTGTCTGTCTCTCAGATTGTGTCCAGTTTCAAAGCCACCACATCCCGAGCCGTATGCCAGCTGCTCAGAGAGTATGTGGGCCACCGAGACGGCATCTGGGACCTCAGCGTGACGCGGATTCAGCCCACCGTGCTCGGCACCGCATCTGCAGGTAACCAGCACCCTGTATTCACCTTGGTTTTTCACTTTTGTTTGCATTTTTTATTCATTTAGGACTCACTCTATAAATTGAAGGATGTCTTTGTCCATCCATGGAATTCTGATGTAATAACAATGTAGTAACATTAATTTATTTTCAAGTATGATTTTTTTTTTCATGATATCTTTAGGTTACATGTGAACATGTAAGATGAGTATGAAATGGTATAGAAGTATGTTTTGTTTTTGTTTTCTATAGATGGATAGATCGATCGGAATAAATGTGATTACAGTAATGCCTTGTTTATCGCGGCGGTCCAAATGTTTTTTGTTTTGCGGTAGACCACACGGCCATGTTGTGGAGCATTGAGACGGGCAAATGTCTCCTTAAGTATCTGGGCCACCAAGGATCAGGTAATACAAGTGTCGTCATTTCTCTTCCAAATGTGCACGTTGAAGAGATGACTCAAGTGTTTTATGTTTCCTCTCTTCTCCTCAGTCAACTCCATCAAGTTTCACCCCACTGAGCAGATGGCGCTAACAGGTAGCCGCTATTCCCGTCACAGACCAAATGACACCAAGCAGACATACATATAAATGTTAACATTTCAAATAGCCTCAAATTGCCATGAAAGCAGAAATGTGGTTTCACCACATCGCCAGGAACACAAAAGGGCAGTCGTCACGATTTATAAATTAGACAGTAAACAACGTCAATAGACAAATTTCAACTCTAATTCCTTCACAAAGTGATCTTCAATTGATTTGTTGCTCCTCAGCCTCCGGTGACCAGACAGCTCATGTGTGGCGGTTCCTGGTGCAGCTGCCCACGCCGCAGCCCGTCACCGACGTCACCGTAAGCATTCATGACATCTTGATTTGCACACAGACTCCCATATTTGGAAGCGATGCCATCGAGATTCTTTACTATTATGATGTATCTAGCCTGCAGTTGTCTTCCACAAATTGATGTTAAGCATTTGACAACGTCCGACTGCCTACGAGGCAGTGAATGATCTCTCAAGCTCCCTCCACCTCTCGTGACCTCATCACCCAATCCCAACATCAACATTTCACCAGCAGCCCTGCGAGGACGAAGTGGAGTTCTCCGACAAAGATGACGCAGACACGGAGGCGGACGGGCCCAACGAGTGCCCGTCGGTGCGCGTGCCCAGCACCACGTTGCGCAGCCACCAGGGCGTGGTGATCGCCGCCGACTGGTTGGTGGGCGGCAAGCAGGTAGTGACGGCATCCTGGGACCGGGCAGCCAACCTCTACGATGTGGAGACGTCGGAGCTGGTGCACTCGCTCACCGGTAGGACCCGTCGGCGACTCCATGCGTGAACAACTGATGTTAATTGAGCCTCTGAGAACTAGCGTGTGACGCGACGCATGTCTGTGCGCAGGTCACGACCAGGAGCTGACGCACTGCTGCACGCACCCCACCCAGCGACTTGTCGTCACCTCATCCAGGGACACCACCTTCAGGTTGTGGGACTTCAGAGACCCGTCCATACACTCTGTCAACGTCTTCCAAGGACACACGGAGTACGTCTTCACACACGCACACAAACCCGATTTTTTGCTAATTTTGTTTTTGTTGTTCTTTTGGAACATTTTACAACTGTGTATTTGATACAACTAAAGTATTTGAACAGTATTTTTGGTTTTTAATCCAAAGTCAGGACAGCCATAAAACATTTCCTGAATAACTTTTGATGCCTTAGTTTAAGGCACTTTGGGATTTTGTATGGTACTTGTCATCTGTTAGCCTGGATGTTGTTTGACTCCCGTTGGTCCCTCCTTGCTGCAGCACGGTTACATCAGCCGTGTTCACAGTGGGTGACAACGTGGTGTCGGGCAGCGACGACCGCACCGTTAAAGTATGGGACCTGAAGAACATGCGCTCACCCATCGCCACCATCCGCACGGACTCGGCCGTTAACAGGTATGAGACTCAATGATTTTGGCGTCACGGGCAACGTGTTGGACTGAAGTGGAGTTTTCTGTCCATTATCCTGTTAATTCAAGGAATAGTTCCAATGATTTTTTTAATTTTTTTTATTTTTTTTTTTATGTCTGTGTGTAGGATCAGCGTGTCGGTGAGTCAGAGGATCATCGCTCTCCCTCACGACAATCGGCAAGTCCGACTCTTCGACATGTCCGGCGTGCGCTTGGCCAGACTACCGCGCAGCAACAGACAGGTCAGTGATTGACGGATGAAAAATGACCAGGAACCTACATTTAGCACGGGGTTGGAGACCACTTAAAAAAAATGTAGTCTTTGTCTTCCCACACAGTTTCGATACAAAACACAGATAAACTTAGTCAGTCTGTTCTAATTCTCTCCATGTCACAAGAAAAATGTGACATCACTTTGAGGAAGCAACAAGAAGAAATTCTCGCCTCAAATGAGAACTGTTGCAAGACAAAAGAGAATCAATTAAACATCGATATTTAAACATCAAAATGTTCAACCAAACCATATCATGTCATCTGAGAAAAGTCACCTTGACCACCTGGGGATAGTATCATACAGACATGCAGCACAACTCTTCAGCAGTAATATTAGCCATTCTTCGCAGAGGATCAAGAACATGTTCCCTGAATATCTGAGTATTGTTCTATTATCTGTCTACATGTGTCGCTGAATTCAATTATCAGTTGCTTAAAGGGTTGACTGTTGTGTTTAAGTCGGGTCAGTACTGAATACTGTGTGTGTGTGTGTGTGTGTGTGTGTGTGTGTGTGTGTGTGTGTGTGTGTGTGTGTGTGTGTGTTTTCCAGGGCCACCGGCGTATGGTGTGTTGCTCGGCATGGTGCGAGGACAACGCCTCGTGCAACTTGTTCACATGCGGCTTCGACCGGCAGGCCATCGGCTGGAACATCAACATCCCGGCCTTACTGCTGGAGAAGTGACCCCCGCCAAGCATGCCGCCCGACCGACCCCCTGGAATCTTGCCTGGCTTTACTTGTCGACGCGCCACGTGAGTTTTCATGCGTCCATCGAAAGTGGCATAAATGCAACAGCTCGGCTTCTCGAGCGGGAACTGGCAGCAATGTACACTGAGCACTCTGTGTGTGTGTGTGTGTGTGTGTGTGTGTGTGTGTGTGTGTGTGTGTGTGTGTGTGTGTGTGTTTTAAAATGAGTCCTCCATCAAAACAGTGTGCCATTGATGGAAAAACAAGCACAACCCGCTTCCATGCACAAAGCCTCACAACAGTTGTTTGGGTTTATTGTAGTCGAGAACAATGACAACTATTGCCCAAATATTTTTTTTTTTCTTCTCAAGGTACACAATCCCGCGTCGTAACATTAGCTGCACTACTACAAAAATGTAGTGAGATCCTTACGACTATGTGTGAACTGTCTGAGTCAAACCAACATGGCCGACTTCCTGTACCGTTTTGGGCATGGGTCCTTCTGTGCTTATGATCGATACATCCACCAAATTCCATGTAGATTGGTTACGCAATGTCAAACGTGTCACTGTTCTATTTATTTCTATATTTATTTCTCAACTCAACTCAAATGTATTTATAGACCTTTGGATTTGGATTTTCCTGTAAAGTTAAATACAAACATTTAAAGCAAGATGAATAAGCGTGCAAAAATATCCGTTGGACCCAAGGATTTTTTTTTTTTTTTTTTTGCAAACTACCGGCAAAAAAAAATGAACAAATACTTAAATTATACCAAATCTCCAAACTGTAAGTAATGTTTGTAAATTTCCGCATGTGTCCCTAATGTGGCCAGAGATCTGCACATTAGTTTGCCCCAGGTGACAAAAGTTCGTTGCAGTTGCTGCATATGGTCCGTTTAGAGTATTTCGGAAGTCACGACATACCTGAACAGTGTTCATCCAATTGCTCAGTTTGTATTAGTAGTTAATGGGCTGCCCCCTGCTGGTCTGGAGTATCATGTACGATTAGTTCTTATAGGGGAAAAAAAACAGTAAAGATGTGAAAATTGTCTTCGTGGTGCTAGAACGACTTAAAATAGCGTGTGTGTGTGTGTGTGTGTGTGTGTGTGTGTGTGTGTGTGTGTGTTTAAACATTGCATTCTTACTGCCTTGTGCGGGAAACAAAAACAACAAGACGAAAGTGTATAAAAGGTGTAAAAAGTCTTCAATGTCACAACGTTTCTCTTCTGGAGGACTTTCAAGTGCCGAAATTAAATCAATCCATAAACCAGTCAACAAGTCCACCATTAAAAAAAATCATTCCGGTGTGAATTTATCACAATTAGAATTGTCACAGTTAAAAACTAAATTGTGAAATAATTTGATGCCCACTTTTTTGTGTATGTTAAATTAATTGGTAGTTTATTGAATTAATTATTTAACTGTTACATATTGGCACTTCTTAGTCCTCCATAGTCTGTTTGCATCATGAATGAGATGTAATCTCTCTCTCTCACACACACACGCACACACACGCACACACACACACACGCACACACACATATATATAAAACTGCTAAGATTTTTATTTTGTGTTTATTAGCCACTTTAACCCCAAATTGCTATTTGACCCTAGTGATCAACATTTAAAAACATGCACACACACACACACACACACACACACACACACACACACACACACCAAAAAAAAGGATACAGAATACATATTTAATGTGCAACCAGTCAGTTAATTCAGTTGGATGCTCAGTTATTATCGCTACGCTCTTGTTCAATAACCACTAATAAGTCATAAAACATTTTTAAAATGAGACAACAAGCAGCCATCTGGTTTTGACGTCAACATGGTCATGTTGTAAACGTTTGTTTCCTTTCTAGCAGTCTTTTATGGAACGAAAAAGAAAGCTCTCCTTCACCCTGTCGTATGTGAAATTAAAGCCAGTAAAATGCTGCTATTTAGTGCGCTTTTGTTATCAATGTTATTGTAATGATGTCACTTTGTTACCCGTCAATCCAAATAAAACTACAGTAGTTGACCCGACACCACTTTTTTTTTCTTCTCTCTTACGTCTGTCTCCCCCTATTGAACACTCGCCAACACCACCCACTTGTAATAATGATTTCTTTACGATACGGAAATAGTCGTGACAATATGTTGTTTATTTACATTAGAATGAATGACGTAGGACATCCCTCTCCTCCTCAAAATGTCGCAGTTGCTTCATGACAAGGCTGCGCTCTTCCAAATAACACTTTGCAAATAACATAACATAAAACAATAATACAGTTAACAGACAAAAATAGTCACGTCAAATTAACACTGCCAAGAAATGTATCAACAAACCATTCTTGTTCAACTGTTTGACAATATTTTCTTATGCTTTGACGAAAACGGCATTGACTAAAACGACATGTAAATAATCATCAAATGAGTCATTTACAATTACATATGCTAATTATGAGTTTCCCAAGTATTTTTCAGTGCTTCACTGAGCTATCTTTGCAAAATACGGGAAGCTTAACTTGCCCGACTTTGCATTCTAAATCTCAAATACGATTATTGCTATTAGTTAAAATGCAATTCAAAAGTCTTCCTGAGATAAGACTCTTTAATTTAGAAGTTAATTATTGTGAAAATTTCTGATTGTTTTTAATGAAGCTAACATGTTTTTGGGACGTGAGAAGGGGAAAAAAAAGACAATGCAAACTTCCGTAGGAAGACCCCAGCCCAAATTCGAACCCAGAGCCTCGAAATGCAAGTCAGACACGCTCACCACTTGCCCTTGTTTTCAGAACGACATCACATATTGACACTCCGTCGTCCTCTGCGCCTTGAGAACTTTGCATAAGTTTCCTGTTCCACGTTCCGAGTCCCGCGTTCCGCACGGAGGCGACAAATTGCCGCACGGCCTTCTGGTACGGACCGGCCGCTCGCTTCCAAGCGCCGTGCGTCCTCAGCATGTCCTCTGACGTCCATTCGTTGAGCTGAGGGACGAGGCAAAAGGACACTAAGCAGCTGCTTTGGGACCAAGGTTGTTAGAGGTCATGAAGTCACTACGTAAATGACTAAGTAAAATTGAAGAATCAATTTTGCTCACGAAATAAAACTGAAAATGTTTTGGGGGGAAAAAATTGAAACTAAAATCTATTTTCTAAATAAAACGAAACAGTGATTTTAGCAAAAATATGTTTTCGTCCGTCAATTAATATTGCACATGAGCTTTCGCATTTATTTGAAATTTATTTATTTCAGTATTGCAGAGGAAGAAAAGCAGTCATTTAAGAAATGTAGATTAGTTTATTACACAATACTTGGTGAACTTTTTTTTATCTTGCATTTGACAAATTCTACATTTATATATAATGAAAATAAAACTAAAACTAATAAAAGGCAAACTTGAAGTATTCGACAAAATAAAAACCTTCTGTAAAAATTAATTAAAACTATCTGGATTAAAAAAAAAAAAAAAAAAAAGTCAAAAAGAAATGAACACTAACTACAATGAAAAATCCCCAACTATTACAACCCTGTTTGGAGCCCGTGAGGCAAACAGTATTTCTTGTTGCCAAGAAATTTTGAACATGTTCAAAATCATGATTATATATAGTTGATCCTAGGGCTGAAACAATCATTTTAAATACTCTCTCCCAAGTTTGTGCTTCTTTTTGCTGATCTAAGCATTTTGTAAATCCGGCCCAAACTCAGTACTCGCTGTGTATTCATTTAGTCAGGTGGCCAGAATGTATTTACCTGCCTGTGAAGACGCTGCCAGCGGGCAAAAAAACGACGGCCGCTGAGTCTGGATGGCATCCCACAGCGGCTCTGTAAGCCCGACGAGGTGCTGAGCTCCTCCACGTCACTGTCGCCGCCGCTCCAGTTTACGCTGATGCGCGACGAATTCCCGCATGCGCGCAGCTCGACCGTTCTTAGACCTGAAACGAACATCTGCGCTTACAGTCAACTGCATACTTGCGCGGTTTGGCACCCTTCCTGTTACTGTCCAACTTCACTTGTCAGTGTTAATCTGCAAAACACTATTTGGCAAGACCCTATCTTGGCTCTTTGCTCACCATGCATACCACCACCCACATTCAGTTCCAGCAGTTTTCTTCACCTTTTCGTTCCCAAAGTCGGCGCTACATTTGGTCAATCTTTTTTTCATTTTTCACCCCAAATCAATTAAAGGTTAAATAAGACAAATTGGCCACTGACAGGAAGAGTTGCTAACTCCCAAGTTTGACCATTTTTAAGTGAATTGCAGAAATAAATAGGAAGAAATGCAAAATGAATTAGCCCATTAGTTCTCAGTGATTTAATTTAACAAATATATTTTAAAAGCATTATTAGGTTTGTGTTCTCCGATAAGTCATCATTTCTTCTGATCACATATGATGACCAAAACCAAATTTTGGTTTTGGTTCCCCAACTGTTCATGGGTCGATGTCAGGTCAATTTTTTTTCTTTGTGTTTGCAAGTCAAACTTTTTGTTCCAAACAAAGGAGAAAATAATGTTATGATTGAGTGTAATGCCTTCTTAAGTGGGCAAGGAGAGCCACAGTCCATCCCAGCATCGTATAATGCGTACACGCAAGCAGAGGCAGTTGTCGCCTGTAAGGCGCGGCGTGGCGTTTATTGGGGGCGAGGCGGCGAGCCAGGACGCGTTGCAGGTGGCCCGTGTGGCTCAACGTGGCCACCGTCAAGCTCTGAAGGTACACAGGCTCCACCAGGTGAGACATCAGCGCCCCCTGCAGGCCTACGGCACACCACCTGTTGCACACACACCCACAATCTGAGGTATAAGAAGTCTTAAGTCCAAGGCCCGGACTAAGAAAGATCAGTATATCGAAGACTAGTATACGTCTTCAAGAATTTCAGAGTAGTTAAAAGTCCAAGACGAATAATTCTATCGAGTAGCATCAAGTACAAATAAGACTAAGAAGTCCGAGACTAGTCTAAGACCACAGTCGTGTACATTCGTCGACATCTAGTCTACCGAAGGCTGAGGGTAGTTAAAATCCAAGACTAAGGCTCACGGTAACAGCAGTAAGTCTAATACTAGTCGAAGTCTAGTATTCAGTCACTTTTAAGAGTACTTATAATTCAGTCCAACACAGAAGAGTCATTGCAGTCACTCTCAGACTACACCAGTCGAATTCCAAATCTCTTGTCTCAGTCCAAGATAAATTCTGTTAAAGACTAGAAAAGGCCACCAATGAGCATCCAGTGTGCCACTCACTTGGCGATTTTGTCCGTGCAAGACATGCTGACTTGAGCTTTACCCGGTGACACGCCTGCCCTCTTCTGATTGGCCGACTGAGCTGTGACGGGCAACGTTCCCTGGCCGCCGACCACCTTTGACCTCAGGCCACAGCGCAACACATTTGTCATCACGGAGGCTAATGACACACAAACGTATATATACACACACACACACACACACACAAGGTCACTTGTGAACACGTCATCACTATGGGAAGTTTCTTGCGATTACTCTGAGGCCTAGTCATGGTTTTCTTCTTGGCCTTGCAGTAATGTTAGACTTAATCGAACCCTTGTTGAAATTACTGTAATATTCACCCTTGGACTTGGATTAATCTTGGATGTAGATTTAGTCTTAATTAAATTAGGCCTGGCTAAATTTCTCACGTGAGATGTGGTTTTCGTATGGACAGTTGAGTCTGGCATCTCCACATGGTGACGAGGTAACAAACATGTGGAGTCCAACGTGGTCTCGCAGCCTGAAGACCCTTCGGCGACCAGTCGCTCGTTCAAAGATGGACACCCACCCAACGTCAATCTTGTCTGGAGGACTTTATCAAAAAAAACGTACTGTTAGATTTGCTCTTGGATTTAGATTAGTTTTATGCCTACTTAGATCATTTTTGATCTGGACCTCAGATCAAAAATGAGGTGACCTGTGACCACCATTGCCAATTTTATATCATTTACACAAGTCTTAAACTTCTGTATTAGTCTGGGACACAGACTAATTTTAGACTGAAACTACTCTTAGGCAAATGATGGATTTAGTAGTGATCGATTAAGTTAGATTTCTTTTAGACTAGTTTTGACATTGCCAGCTACAGTCTGAGACATTATTTAAGTACTCATACACTCCGTCTTTGACTAATCATTAATTTAGTCATCTCTTGGTCTTAGACTTAATTTGTAGATTTAGATGAGATTATTCTGTTCTATTAAACTAGTCTTGTACATGATTAGATACGTAAATCGTGACCTTAAGACTACTGGACAGTTTTACTTTGAGCTCTATATTAGTCTTGGATTTAACCTAGTGTTTGACTTGCTTTGATTACTCTTACTACTATTACCTAATTCCTGGGTATAGACTAGGCTTGGACCTATTTAGATAACTTTTAGACTTCGTCTTTGACTGAGTTTAACGACTGATAAACGGAATCTTTTTACCGTATCAGAAGCATCTCCAGTTGAGCGTATAAGAAGCGTAACAGCGCCCTCCTGCACACAACCTCGGCATGACAGTCGTGCAGCGCACTGTCATCGTGACAGACTCCATCCCAGTCCAAACACTTGGTCCCCGTTGCCATGGAAACCACCTCAGCCGAGCTCACCTCAAATCCTGGAAGCAAAATGATTCCAATGATTTGCTCGAAGGAACGAGAGCGACTTCTTGTCTTTCTTAACTCTTGACAACCTGTCGTCATGATAATGGCGGCCATGTTGTGTGTGGCGAGGCTTTGGTCCATCAGCTGCTGGCATTTTTGTCTTGTTAGCTGGAAGATGTATTCTGCAAAGAACTGTAAACAACAACAAACAAGTCGGCAGCAAATACTGTAGTTAATAATAAACATCAAACGTTTACGTGAATCATTACACCAGCCAATGAAGGAGTGAGTTTCAGTGGCGACGGTGACACAAGGTCGTGCGTAACCAGCGTGTGAAACAATTATCTTTGGGATTATTGTGCCGTCACGGTGTCTTGGTCGGCTGCCCGTCCGCCGCAGTTGCTAATCTTCACTAATGATCATCGCTAATGCTAATGTGCGCTAATGCGTCACGCCGCCTGATTGACAGCCCATGCTCTAAAATCACTTGGATGCTCCTCTGTCACCATGCCAATCATTCATACGAGCGGGATGAAAGAAGGAAGGAAAGAAGGATGAGGAAAGGAAGAAGACGGCAAGTGAAGGAACAAAGATCGAGTGACCGAAAGAAAGAAGAAAGGGGGGAGAAAAGACAGCACGGAAGGAATGAAGGAAATACAAATGGAAAAAGTAAGGAAGGCTGGAGAGAAGAATATAGCAAGTGAGGGAAGGATGGAGAGAAGGCAGCGGTTGAAGCAAGGAGTAGGAAAGGGGGAAGGGAGGAGGTACAGAAGGAAGGACAGGACCAAGGATCAACAGAGAGATTCTCGGATGCTGTATTTGCTCCACCTGAGGTCCAGATTGGGGGACTCGCTCTGACCTACAATCTGCTCATCCAGTCAGAGAATGAGTGTGACTCTAACCTGGGGCAATTGCTTTTTATCCTCGAGCAGACCCATCATCTTCCTCTCGGGGCTGACGTCGTAGAGCGAGCGCAGAGCGGCAGCAGCCGCCCGGGCCTTGGCGGCTCTTTTACTTCGGCCGCAGCCTTCGAACATCCGCCCGTCCACCCGCACAGCCGCAAAGAAACGCCTCTCCGGCCGGCCGGGAACTCGTTCAATCAGGCAGAAGTAGCGCAGGCCCGGTCGCAGTTCACCGAGCAGCCCAATGGGATCGAAACACCCCAAGACCCAGGAACTGACCACTCCTCGGGGGCAGGATTGATTGCCATTTCGGGGAAATACCTCCTTCCTCGCTGAGTTGCAGGTCCAGTTTTCACCTTCTACCCAAAGAACAACAGCCAATCACAAACAGAAAACCTTGAGACTGACGAGGATTCCAAAATACCTCTTGCACACTGGGCTTCAGGAGCTTTGCTTAAACCATAATGGAATATCCAACTCCAGAAAAGAATTTAATTCAGTTTTACTTAGGTAGCCCCAAATAATGACAGGAGCAATATCAGGTCGACTTACACATGCAGCAGGTGAAAAATCACACGCGCCACTGATCGAAAGAACAAGATTCCGGATACAAGTGGCCAAAATGAGTTTCCTCTGCAGGGCGTCAGGTCTCTCTCACTTAGAGATAGATAGAAGCTCTGTCAACCGCGAGGGGCTCAGAGAGGAGCCCAATGAGGTGGCTCGGACATCTAATTAGAATGCCATGTGAGCGCTTCGATGAAAACAAAGGCCAGATTTGAAGGAGGGATTTGAGGGCCACGTGAATTTGGTGGTGCGTGGTCGAGTCGCGCCGAAGTCACGTCATTTTGCCTTCAAATTCAGCGTACGGATTTGGATAGAGCTGATGTCTCCCATTTGGCCTGGGAATATTTTAGGATCTCTCTGTAAAAAAAAAAATGTAGGAGAACGGAAGCAACCTGAGCCCAGTTAAGATGAAGAAGGTCGATGGACGAATGGACAATTCAAGAAAGAAAAGTTCCAACAACAAAATCCAATGTTACAGGTAGGAACACGACACACATGCTTCCAACGTAGCACCCGCGGCTAACTTCGGCTTGATTACAGTGCATGTTAAGTACAGTTCACGTCTCGTACACGTGAGGGGTGTGGCTTCGGTCAGAGACCCGAAGGGGAATTAGTGAAGTGAGACTACCGCGGTGGGTTCTGCAAACTAACAACCATAATAAACGAGGAACTACTCTTAACTACTGCCGTCATTGATGTCACATGGGTTCCTGATTGGGTGCATGCTGAAAACGTGTTGATGCTTGATGATCATCTCTGCTTTAATAGTTTTGCCGGAATATTGTGGCATGGATATGCAATTATGAAAGCCTTTTTAAAGTGGGCCGTCATTTATTTAAGTGTGAGTACTTTTGCCACCTGTGTCGTCCGTGGAGAACATTTGTGACCGATCCAATTGGTCCTCCGTGAAATCGTCTGCGGCGCTCTCCACGCCCTCCGAGCCTGCATCGGGGAACTGGGCGAAGGACTTGAGAGCCAGCTCGGCTGCCCTCGTCTTGGCCTGTTTTTTGGTGGATCCCCTGCCCTCAAAGCGGAGGCCGTTGACGTCCACGCTCACCGCAAACACAGGTGCGTGCGGGGGGCCCGTCTGCGACACAGCGTCGTAGCGCAAACCAGGCCGCTGCTTGTTCAACCGGACCACCGAGTTGGTCTTCCGAGTGAGGGACTGCGTTGTCCTCGGACACGCCGGATGCCCCGTTTGGGGGCACTTCTTCTCTGAGGCTGCCGTCCCCCTCCGGTGGTCTCGTCGGGCGCATGTGCTTGGTGGCTGGCGCTTTTTCAGGTGGTCTCCTCGGTCATAAATCTTCTCCGCCTCCTCACTGCTCCTACCTGACGACACGGTTGTCACGTGAAACAATCGAATTAAAACGATTCATCTGTTCCAGCCCCCTCCAAAGCACCACTGAATTTTTATACATTTAATAATGTGAAACAACCCTACAATATGTACAATTTTTTTTTTTTAAATAGCAGAATAAAAGAGAATGTAAAGCAGCAAGGGATGAGTAATTGATGGAAATATGAAGGAAGGAAAGACAGAGCGAGAAGAGAACAAGGGAAGGAAATATGAAGGAAGGAAAAAAAATTCAAAACTTTAAAAACCAAAAGTAAGAGCAGACAACTGTTTAAAATAAAAACACTGTAATAAAAAGTTTAAAAGTGAGTGTAGGAGGACAGCAAGTGAAAGAATGAAAGCGGCAATGGAGAGAGGAAGATGATGCAAATGACACTGGAAATCCGGTCGTCCATTTGTGAAATGAGCAAACAGAAGAGGAGGAATTACCGAAGTGACATATGGTACCAACAAAAAATCAAACAATAATCTCCTCTTTTGTGTTTCAATTTAATAACTTTTTGATCAGATGTGATGGGAAAAAAATCTAAAATGCGTTTTATTCCTTTTTTTTTTTTTGCTTTTAAAGTAAATTGCAAAAATCACACAAACTCAAGTTTCAAACACACGAATAATCCTTGTTGGTTGACACGGTCAAGCCATCGTCGGTAGCATTAGCATCTGCTCAAGTAAGTGAACCATTTGCGGAGCGAAAAAAAATGCGTGTGCGTGCTGTGCGTTAATGAAAATGGAAGTTGGCTTAGTGGGGGGGGGCGCTTTGAATAAAAACGCGGGCCTTCAAAGCAAAAAAAAAAAAAAAAAAGGCCATCAAACTGTAATCTGCCGCCTTTTGTCGGGATTAGCAAAAAAACAACGATGAGGCACAATGGCACACTAATCCCCCCCGCTCGAACCCGTGACCTGTTGATGGCGTAATTACGACAACGGGCGGCCATCTGCCGACACAACCGCGTCTCCCGTCCCGTTTGGCGCTGACAGCAAAATTTCAGCAATCAACTCACTCGCTGACAAACTCGACCGTCCTAATCCAGTCGTATCACATTTGTTCATCAGAGATGCAAATCGATTTTTCCTCCATGAATTCTTTGCACTCATCCCGAAACTACTTTCGTTTTCTTTTTCTCCAGCACATCAGGTGCATAATAAAAACAAGATGTCATATATCATGTAATATTTATCAATGAAGGGTACAGCAACAGGTGGGATTTTTTTTTTCTTCCTGAAACGACATCGCTACGAATGAGAAAACACGGTAAAATCCCGATGGCGCAAGCTTTTATGAGTTAAACTTCAAAACACACACGTTAAAAAAAAGAAGAAAATATCGCAAAACCCGATGTGCCATCCAAAAATGAACACATATTTGAATCAGCGTCAAAAATACTTTAAGTGACAGATAAAACCGCATCTGGGATTCAGACGTGCCCTTGACCAGTGTAATTACAAATTATGACATAATTTTACAATTGAGAGTTGCTTTGAGGAGTTTCATTAGTTTACAATTTGAACGTAAAACGCGTTTTAATCTTGTTACCGTAATAAACGACTTTTGTAGCGCATCATCTTTACCTGATAGTATATTAACAGTAATGATAATGATCATATTGGTGATTATACTCCGACTGCATGACAACGCTGAGAAGAACACAAAGAATTTTGGAGTGAAAACACTAAAAGGTTGACATGAAATACGATTCCAATGATAAATAGGAATTATGAAAGTACTCACCTGTGACTCTGCTCCTCCTCTTCCTCCTTCTCTTGCTCTTCCTCCTCACGTCTGTAACTTCATACGTGTCCATAACGTGTGCAAAAGATTCTGAATTTGAATGATAAGAAATAATACAGACTTGTACTTCGTGCACCTTTGCGTGGCGTGTTTGCGGAGTGAGAGGAAGCAGCGTTGCGGTAACACACACACACACGCACACACACACGCACACACGCACCCACACACACCGGCCACGCCCCCCGTCCCTTGATTGACAGGGGCATGTTTGACACGCGGAGGAAAAATGGTTCAGGAGCAAAATCTGAATATAAAAAAACGTACTGGTTGAAGATTAGATGACAATTCAACATCACTTTTGGATCTTTGTTTAATATATTGGAAGTGCCAATATCAATACCCGCCCGCCCTCACACGTCTTCATCATCATCGGCATCAACATCACCCTTGGTCGTCATCATCATCTTCATTGTTTCCTCATCATCGTCGTCATCATCTTGACTGACGATGAGATCCTCATCCTTTTTGTTGTCACTTTTCACATCACAGTCGTCATCAATGTGACGGTCAAAATCTTCATCGACATAATTATCCTAATCTTCATCATCATCATGATCTCCATCGTCACTTTCATGATCCTCATCGAGATCATATTCATCGAGATCATAAGATAAGATAAGATAAGATATCCTTTATTTGTCCCACACTGGGGAAATTTACAGCCTTCAGCAGCAAGATTGTGGGTAGAAAGAAGAGAAAAGAAAACACAGTTCAATTAAGTGCAATATAAAATTGAACTTATTGACCTTGATCATCAGTTTGATCATCATCATCATTGTGATCGTCTTGATCATCATCATCGTATTCATCATCACTTTCTTCATCATTGTCATCATCATCATTTTCCTCATCCTCATCATCTTCCTTTTATCTGATGGTTTGTTTCCGGTAGTTGGCTCCATGGAGCTCGAGAGGATGATTGACAGGATGGCGTGTGTATTGCCATGACTTTTCATTAGGTACACTTCCGTGTGTGTATGTGTGTACGTGTGTGTGTGTGTGTGTGTGTGTGTGTGTGTGTGTGTGTGTTTGTGCGCGCGTGTGTGTGTGTGTGTGTGTGTACATGCACGCGGATGCGTATGTAAATTCGTGAAAAGCAAAGCTGATTGGCTCGAAAGATAATAAATAAGAACAAATAATCAAATGTGAGCCGATCACGTGACCGCACCCGCTTTTGTCTTTGAACGTTTTTAATTGTCTGACGATTACAATCTTAATTGATCACTCTGAACACTTATCAGACGAAATATGCTAATTAGCAATTTACCATATTCATAGATTAAATACTCCCCAAAGTATCATTACACCGTCAAATATCAACAAAAATAACGATTATTATGGTCCTGCTGTGGAGCAGTTTGGTTCGCAGATGAATTGTAAAATGTTTTGAATTTTTTTTTTTTCGTTTTTTTTAAACTTTTTAATTGCGTGAGCATGTTTACTTTTTTGGAGTTTACGTGCAAACACATAGTTGTCCACAAGAGGTCAGAATTTGTCAAATATTTCTCTTTGGACGGCTGATGCACATATTACAAACATAACCCGCTTTGATTTTTTTTCACAACAAAAACAAATTGATAACATTGCTGGTTCATATTTACATTTACCCCCTTCCCAACCTCCCCCCCCCAAAAAAAAACCCAAAACTTTTTTATCATAACATAATAATAATAATAATAATAATAATAATTTAATTAGTTCTTGAAATACTTTATTCCTCACAAATCTTTACGTCAAAGCAAATGTTTTTCAAATATCAAAAATATGAACTATGTGCTTCTTTTATAATGTCTCCGGAAACATTTTGAACGCGTTGCAGAAGGTGTGCTTTTACTTTGAAGGCAAATCCCATACTATTTACGCCGTGTTTCCATATCGATGCGATGTAGTTGGCTTCCATCGTCGCCTCCACAAAAAAAAAAAAAAAAAAAAAAAAAAAACGAGACACTCTTCTCTTGCTCACTCGCCGGCCCCCACGCGAGGGACTCGGACATGGCTGCGTGAAGATTTGTCGTCTCCTCCGGTCGAAGCGTCAAGTGAGTCGCGCTCGTTCTTGTCGAGATGTTCACTGAAATGTGTTGAAATGAGCATCACTGCGAGGCATTACTCGTGCAGCTAACTGCAGGCTAGCTGTGTCATCCTGGGAATACGTTTCACAATAAAACCTAGGCGCAGTGTCGTTTTCGTCGTAATTATCCTCAATAATCTGGCAGGCGCATGCTACAAAAGGCGCCTTGGGTGAGTTTTATTGTACGGGTTGTAACGTCGGAGTAATTTAAAAACATGTGACTCGTTGATTTGGGATTGCGAGTCGACTCGACTCGGAACTCGGACGGATGCTGCGCCTGGTTTGCACTCGCGTGATGCTTTGGAATATTTGAGGGAAATAGCCGACCCCGAAGCCCATTTCACTATGGCCGAATTCATCAGTACACGACTAGCAGTGAACACAGTATTGCAAATGTACTGAAATATCAGGTTTTATGCAAATTCTTGAGGGGCAACGGTTGAAATATGATATATTGTCAACACTGTTCGTCGACGACCTAGATGAACTTTTTAAATAGTGCAAATTAACGACCAACAATGCTCTCATTGGAATGAAATATGAGCCAAACCACTGGTGTGCTCTTAATATCAGTACGTTTTTTTTTATATTGGAATTTTACTTCGACGTGTCTGTCCCTTTCCGTTTTTGCGTCTCATTCTGATGTGTTTTTGAAAAATGAAGCACTGCGGTGTTTGTAGTCACTCAAGCAGCATCCGCAGCTTCGTCCTCCCCCACCGATCCTCATCATCTTTTTGTTGTTGTCTTTATTTTCCTCGACAACAAATGTGCTGGTGATGCAAACCGGCGGTGATGCCGAGGGGTAGATGCCCTTGACAGAGGAGCGGGAGGAGGAGGAGTGGAACAACCGTGTGATCCAGGGAGAGTAGAGGGCAAGCAAGGCTAAGGCGGATTCTCCATAAGAAGCGGGCCAATCTGAGCAGGGATGTCCAAACGTTTTCCGACGAGGGCAGCATCCACAAAAAAATAATAAAATCAAGGATGCCGCGGCCAGTTTGGCATTCTTCCGCTTGAATTTACCAGAGACGCTCAAACCAATCCATCAAGTGATCATACGGTGCTGCCTTGAGATGTAAGAGCCCTGATGTGCGAGTTTTTCGAGGTACAAGCTATCGTTCGGCCGCTGTTATTGATCTGACTTGTGGGCAAAAAAATGTGAGATTTGAGCACTTTCTGTTGATACCAAACTCAACTCAACTCACATCACAACAAGTAGCAGTTAGTCCGAAAAAATGGTGAACGATTGTGCAAAAAGAGCTTTTAAGATGTTTTTGTCACTCCTAGTTGAAGTTTACGGTCAAACTAAACATAAAACAAAGAGAATTTCACGTTCGGCATTTAAAATAATCAAAGAAATTTGCCTTGCATCTGCTCCTGATAGCTTAATGCTAACATATAATGGAAAAGGCCATTGACGGGCTAGCATGGGTAGTCATGGTGGTAGTAGAACTGTTCAAGTGATGCTATTTGAACACACACAGTGGCGTAACACATGTAAATTGACAATATCACTGGAATATATTCCTTATCTTCTGTCAAAAACAGCTAAATTGTAGCTTGTTGAGTCAATGACTCACTTACGGGGTCTGGATACCGTCAAACTCTATACCCTGTGGTCAAGGCGGACACTCCAGAAGGAGCAGCACAATGAATTGAACTCACTGGATGAAATCATTTTGATAATTTTTAATTATGTTATGGCTCTGTTTTTATGAAGTACATTGTTAAAGAGTGATAGTCATGGTGGTAGAACCGTTCAAGTGATGCTATTTGAACACACACAGTGGCGTAACACATGTAAATTGACAATATCACTGGAATATATTCCTTATCTTCTGTCAAAAACAGCTAAATTGTAGCTTGTTGAGTCATTGACTCACTTACGGGGTCTGGATACCATCACACTCTGTGGTCAAGGCGGACACTCCAGAAGGAGCAGCACAATGAATTGAACTCACTGGATGAAATCATTTTGATAATTTTTAATTATGTTATGGCTCTGTTTTTATGAAGTACATTGTTAAAGAGTGCTAGTTTTCCTTAATAATATATATTTTCAAAAAGCTCATTGCAAAAACTGTTCTTTTGGAGGGTCTGGAACATTTTAATGGCATTGAAATGTACTGTACATTGTTCACACATGAATTTTTTTTTAAGTGCCTAGTCACAGCCTTTTGTTCGAGATGATAAAGCAAGTACTTTTTTTCGTGGTTTTGGGGTGGCCTGCATGTCACTCACAAACCCCCCCCCCCGTAGTTATGTTATTGCTCTGTTTTTATGAAGTACGTTATTAAAGAGTGCTAGTTTTCCTTAATAATATATATTATTATTAAGGAAACCCACACACATTTTTATGACACCCCCACTTTCAACGCTCACAGCCTTTTTTAAGCCGCGGCATAAGAAATAGATAAGTCGGGGTGCAGATAAGCAGATGTCCTCTCACTTCTTGTCCACGCGCTTTTCCTCCTCAACGCTGTTAAACCAAACAAGTTGACGCAACTTAAAAAAAAAAAAAAAAGCCAACTCATGGCCTCCAAATAGTACGTAAATGTCACATATCCAAACTCGATGTGAAGTGCACACTTAAAAAAGAGAAAACTCATACATTATTTTTTTCATGAAATAAATGAAAACAACAACAAAAAAAAACAGTGTAAACCTACCTTTGCACCCCCTTGTGTGTGCACCTATATATTGTGTAATGTTTATTTTAGATTAGGTAATTTATGATATTGAGGGAAGGCCACATTTTAAATGAGCGTATCACAGACCGTCAAAAAAGTTAATTTCATCAGAGCTGCCAAACTGGTGATCGCGATTAAAAGTCAATCAATTGTGCATCCCTACGTTGCTGCCATCTTTTGGCATCTTGCCGTTAAGGAATTATTTTGAAGCGAGTATTAGTTTGTTCTAGTGTTGTTCAATGCCATTATTATTATTTTTTTTTTTAAAAACGATATCAGGCCGACTATTCGATTGAGTACTCGCCGTGATCGAGTGACAATACCACTGCTGCTTTTGATACATAAAATGGGAACGGAAAATGTGTCAACCCGACTGAATGAGACCGTTACCATAGCAGCAACACCAACAATCTTGTTGACAAAAGTGACCAAGAGGGAGGCAAGGCGTCATTGTGAGATGCCAACCTATTGGTGGGCATTAAGGGTGCTATATTGCAGGGTCCATGCAAATAAATCACACTGCACAGACTTTTCATTTTGAGATCATAGGGTTTGTTGTTCCCAACATAATAGGTCGAGCCAGATCTGAAAAGTCATTCCCTCAAGAAATCGAGCCATGAACAGTGCTCAAATCTTGCAGTCTGATCCAGGCATTAGCCAGTTGTGCTTTCAAGCTAACGATATTCCACACTATTGAATGATAACGTTCCTTCTGTATTTTTGAAAGCTGAAGACGCCATGGCCCCGTGAGGCGCCCAGTCGCAGCGTTAACAGCCGGACCGGACGCGCCGGTCGTCATGGAGGCCGACTTGTCCGAGTTGTCTGCGTCCCTTCGCAAGGAGGACGCCGGTTCCAGCGAGGCGGAGGATCCAGGTACGACCCATCAAAGTCTCAAGCCCCAAGAGGAAGCCTCACTGTCTGCTTCGGTCATGGCAGAGGAGAGCACCGAGTTCATCCAGCTCGGCCGCGCCGACTCATCCCTGCCGAGCGACTTCCTCCCCAAGGCGGGCAAGTCGGCGTTGAACCGGCCTGCAGAGAACTCCTCCTCATTGTTGTCCGCCACCGGACGGCGCAATAAAACGCTTGGCCGCCGGACCTCGACACCCGGCTTTCTGGTGCGACTGGGCGTGCCCAGTAAGAAGTACCTGGCGTTGATCCTGCAGGACTCTCGCTGCTTCCTGTTCTGCATGTGCTACCTGACCTTCATCCAGTCACTGATGGTGTCTGGTTACCTAAGCAGCGTGATCACGACCATCGAGAAGCGCTACAGTCTTCGCAGCTCCGAGTCGGGCCTGCTCGTCAGCTGCTTCGACATCGGCAGCCTCCTGGTGGTGGTGTTCATTAGCTACTTCGGGGGCAGGGGGCAACGCCCTCGCTGGCTGGCCGTGGGCGGTGTCTTCATCGCGTTGGGCGCCGCCCTTTTCTCGCTGCCGCACTTCATCTCGCCTGCCTACCAGATCCAGGAGGTCAACTCGTCATCGGCCAACGAGGGTCTGTGCCTGAGCGCGAATGCCAGCCGCAGGGACCGCGTGGATATGGCGTCCTGTCCGCGGGACCAGGAGGGCAACGAGCACAACCTGTACGTAGCGCTCTTCATCGTGGCGCAGATCTTGGTGGGCATGGGCTCCACGCCCATCTACACGCTGGGGCCCACATACCTGGATGACAACGTCAAGAAGGAGAACGCCTCGCTCTACCTGGGTAAGCTTTCTCCTTCCCGTCAGAGAAGGGAGCGCAGCGTGTTAGCCGTACTATGAAACCTCACTATTGATTGGTTATCTATCTATCTATCTATCTATCTATCTATCTATCTATCTATCTATCTATCTAGCTAGCTAGCTAGCTAGCTAGCTAGCTAGCTAGCTATCTGAATATCCAGGTATCTATTGAGCTATCTGGCTAGCTAGCTATCTACTGTTGGAGTGAATTGAGGAGCTAGGGCTAGACAACGGTAGTGCTTTGTTGGTTCCTTAACTCACATCGTTAACCTTCAAATCCCCTAGTCCAAGCCCACCCCTCGTCCTCCTCCTTCTAACCCGCTTTGGCTTTGGCACGTCTGGCCTGGCATTGTCGCTCCAGTGGTCTCAAACAACTGAAGCTTAATCAGAGCAACAAATTAGAGTGAGATTGTGTGTGTGTGTGTGTGTGTGTGTGTGTGTGTGCGCGTGTGTGGTTGGAACTGGACGCCATGTGTAAAGGGAGACAGACGTGTGTGCATTCCTGAACACGAAATGACAAAGAGAAATGACACGGTGTGTTTTGTATGGACTACTAGCAATGTGCTGTGGGAACTGGAATCAATGCACGAAGAATTTGTCTCCGGTAGTTAGTCAACTGAGTCCTTTCATACTACTACTACTACTACTACTAATAGATTTGTGATTGTCTGTCAACCAGTTCAGGGTGTACCCCGCCTACTGACCGAAAATAGTAGAAGTAACAACAGGGTTGAAATCATTTTAATAATTTAAAGTTGTTGGCCTGTCTAACTAAAAGGGTTTTCAGGCATGTTTTAAGAGTCCAGGCTCTGGGTAGCCCTCAACTGGGTTGGAAGGGCAGTTCCAAAGTCACGGTACACCTCCACCTTTTCTTGTTGTTGTTGAGCAGATGGACCGGACTCACATCTGGTCTTTTCTAAATAAACCAACTGTTGTCATTCAGTCATAGTTACAAGAGCACACTGAAACCAGTTCTATGATGTCAAATGTGAAATTTTCCTTCACAATAATTTTTTTTTTTCCAAAGTCGACAAGGTGAAGTATGACTTCTAGTTTGTCAAGGTTTGTAGGAATGAGGCAAAGTGAATGAATGTGACCCTGGCGATTAAACTAACAATAGACATCTTCTTCTTGCAGTCAGTCACCTGAGAAAGTTTAGCTCAGATGGACAATGTCAACACTCCATTGCTAGGATGCGGGACTGTTGTTCGATCAATGTTGAATTCAGGGACTAATCTTTCGGAATTGACCGACAACTACAGTCAAGTTTTTATGAAGATTCTTCACGGGGGGTAATTTTGTTGTCTTTTGCACAGATGTTTTTCTTCTGTCTTCTGATTGTCTGAAATTGTCTTTCAGTTTGAGATGAGGTTACCACAATTGGTAAATTTGCATTAAATGTAATTATTCTTGCCACTATCCTACTCTTAGCCCCTTTGTCACTTGTCAGTGTGAGTTTGGATTCGGTACCAGATCAAAATGAGGGTTTGAAGTCGATTTGAAAATGTGTTTTTGGAGGTAGTAAAAATGTGCCTCTCATGTGACTTAGCATCACCTCGAGTCAACGTTAGCATTTTCAGTAAAACTCTTTACAGTGTGAAAGGGGCTATTGGTGTTTTTCGGATTGACTAAAAATGGTCTCACACGTTTTGGCTTTGTCTTGTTTCAGTTCGGTGTGAAAGATAACTCAGAATGAGGAGTTCAAGTCAATGAGAAAATGTAGTTCTGGCGCTAGTTTTGGAGAAGAAATGGCAGCTGCAAAAAGCCGGAACAAACTTCAGGGTTGTTAGTTGACTGAACATCAACTGGAGTCGACTTAAAAGTTTTGATTACAAACATTCTACAGGGACAAGGTATTCCTCCCGTGCTACTTAGTCTCCATAGCTGATGATGATGATGTTGTCAATGTTCGGAGTCAGCAGGATATCTGCCGAGAAAGACAGACCGCTGCTCATTTCATTCATCTCCCCACTCACACATGCTTTTAGGATGCCCATCGATGCAGGACTTGGAAAAGCAACTAGGGAATTTCCTGGCTGTGGTCCAGCTTAAACAATTCCTTCAGTTATTGAGAGGAGTTGTCCTGCAATTCCTCAGTTAAATGATGTGCCCAGTTCAATTATGGTCATGTATTGTTTGTAAGAATTTTTTACTGTGTGAGTTAAATAAGTTGTGGCTTGTGTTTTAAGTACAGTGCAACTGTATTCTCCGGCCGTTCCTGATGGTGGCGCCGCGCTGGAAAGCGTTAAGGAGACGAGCGCTGTGTCAGCGCGTTGCCGTGACAACGCACAGCATTCCATTGTGTCTGGGCCCCTTCGTGTCCGTCCGCCGTCTGACTGTCTGCGGACACTCGCCCAGCGGTCGCTCTTTGAGCAGAATAAAAAAAAAAAATACTCGCAGCTTTGAGCGTTCACAATGATTTTCAATTCAGCCCTTCAGTTTCGGCGTTGGTTGGTTGTGAGCAACGGTACATTTTTATACCCTCCTACATGCAAATGATCTGATCAATATGCATACTAAAGAGTAATGCAGTCAAGTGACCACACAAAGGAAAAAGAAAACCATAAAGGGAAGAATAAAAGAATGAAAGAAAAAAATGGGGTAGGGAAGTGGCAGTTAAACAGGCCAAAATCCAGTTATCAGTGGGGGAATGCAGGGCAAGAGGCAATTTCCATACTAGGCGTGGTTTAACTAATTCCAAAAGTATAAAAATAAGAGATTTAAAAATTCCTACCAGGCTCTAATTTCAGCTGGGCAGATATTCCACAGTACTGGCGCCTGATTAAAGAATGCTCTTGAGCCTGCTGACTTCCGCTGAGCTCTCAGAGTCACCAAAAGACCAGCAGGTTGCAAGGCTCCGTCTTAGGATGGAACATACAGTATGACTAAGTCAGCAAGATCGGAAGGTGCTAAGCCATGTGACATTTAATGAGTAAGCTATGAAACCTTCAAATCACATCTCCGCGGACTGCGACACGGTACAAGTTGGCCTGTGTAAGAGGTATTACGATCGCTCGATACACTAATAAAAGGTACAAAAATGCAAGTATACAACATCAAATATAACATTTCACCATGACACTTGTTATCTTGAAGAAATTGTCTTCAGTTTTGAATGCAAGGGTGAATGCTTGCTTGTCTCTTATGTGCCCGTCCGTCGTTTGTCAGGTAAGCTGTCTGTCAAGTGTCAGGCTTCGCCGCCATCATCGCCACGCACGGTTGCATCTGCTTCAACCGTCCTGCCGTGGTTGTTGGTCAGCTTGTCGCTTTATCCTGTCACGTTGCATAACTCAGCACGGGTTTTCCCTCTCCTCCAGCGGGAAGAGGGATTATCTGACCCCTTCGGAAAGCACTCAGTCCCGTCTGCAGCGTGTGTACGTATGCGCGCACAAGCCATCCTCCTCGCCTGATGTAATGAGACGCTTGCTCATACGGTGCGTCACAGTGATGAGTAAGAGAACCGATGCCGCCATTCCGAGAATATCTCGATGATTGCGTCATTGACCACTTTCACCAACACTACCAGGCAAAAGTCATGCAGTCACTTTGGTAGTGGTCATTCATTGATCCCACAGTGGGAAAATTTTCTGGTTATAGCACCCGTAGATTAATAAAATTCCTGAGGAAGGCCGTGCTCATTCTGTGACCCTTCTTGTACTGAGCTTTTATATTTTCTGTTTAAGATAAGATAAGATAACCTTTATTTGTCCCATACTGGGGAAATTTGCAGTCTACAGCAGCAAAATTGGGGGCAGAAGAACGTGTTTCATTGTACAAAATAAATGTTTCAGAAAAAGAACTGTACACAGTTCAATATAAGTGCAATATAACATATAGCATTAGCAATTTTAGTTTAGTTCAGTTTATTGTTTTGGTGCACACCCAGGAACCTAAATCAGTCCACTGTATTGGTTCAAGTCCGAGCCTTGGATCACAAACTCTTTGGTCTTCGCGATGTTTAGGAAAAAGGTGGTTCTCATTACACCTGTCCACACTTTTGTGGATGACCCTCAGCTTGTTCTTATCAGACACACAGCTGACAAAGGACGCATCGTCAGAGAGAGGGAGGGGGTGGGGGGGGGGGATTCGGAGCCCAGGGGCCGGTAGTAGTAGCAGTGGTAGTAGTAGTGGCCCCCTGAGATGAACTCTGTGCACCTGCTTTGCGTTCTTTGGTAACACTGGAAGGTAAAAGGTTAACGTTCCCACTCGACCACTTGCTCAGTCACACCACCAGAACCGATGTTGCCTTTCGAGGCCAACCGATCTGAGGAATGTACGCTGTTAATTCCCACTAATTGGCAAAATCTCATTCTTTTCATGTGACCACACATACACACAGAGGTCCTGTTATGCGCCCCGTGAGGTTGCTTGAGGAGTTACGTAAGCTTCGAGACGTTAAGAGGTGAATTGACATCCACGTCGTCCTTTCATAATGTCTGATTTGATTTCTCTTTCAAGATGACAGGTGTCATCATGTCAGACCTTGTGCTCCTGCTGATTTGGTTAGCAACAGAGTTGAAAGGGGCTCAACTGTTACCTTCTTACCCCTCTCTCTCTCTCTCTTCGTATATATACACACACACACCCATATAAAATTTCAGCCGCTGCACTGATGCTCTTCATCTTTCTCTCTCTTTCCATCTAGCCATCATGTACGTGATGGGCGCTTTGGGTCCGGCAGCGGGCTATTTGCTGGGTGGCGTCCTCATCGGCTTCTATGTGGATCCCAAGACGGTGGTTAACATCGACCAAAGCGATCCCCGCTTCATTGGAAACTGGTGACGACAGACAAACACACACATGAACATTGAGCCATTATATCATCAAGAAAAGATCACTAAAACTATGTCAGAGGACATATACAATATAAGTGGACCCTTGTTCCAGACCTACCGTCAATAGATGAAAATCTAGGGGTTTTTTTCTTGGCTCAACTTGAAGCAGACGTGGTACCATCCTACGGCAATGACGGCGCGCAACTCTAAATTCCGACTTGAGGGATGTAACGATAATGGCACGTCATTGTAATGTCATGATATTAAAAGCACCATATCTGTTAAATAAGCCAATTTACAGCGGTATCTACTTATGAAATTAATTGGTTCTGGGAGCAATTTCTTAACGAGAAAATTTTGTAAGTAGAGGCGCGTTTTCCATGTAAATTCCCTAATTCGTTCAAAGCCCCTCAAAATTCAGACATAAATGTTTCCTAAAGCATAAAAATGCATCAAAATCTGTAACAAATGTTACAATCAGCTTATCGCACAATAAATGAGAGTTAGTAAGTAGAGTTACCACTGTATATTCCATTTGTACCGTACCAGCCCCCTCTGATGGTTAATTTGAATTAGTCACGTCTTGGCCACCCAAAAATATTGCTTTGGCCTGGGTGTGCAGGTGGAGCGGCTTCCTGCTGTGTGCGGTGGCCATGTTGCTGGTCATCTTCCCCATGTTCACCTTCCCCAAGAAGCTGCCGCCGCGACACAAGAAGAAGAAGAGGAGGAAAAAGTTGACCTTGGATGAGATGTCGAGCGACGACGACGTCCTCAAGGAGAAGAGCAACAACAACAAAGCCGTCACATCCTCCATGGGCTTCGGAAAGGACATCAAAGGTATGTACAAGAGCAGGTTATAACCACAAAAAGTGTATTTACTCAAATGCAGATGGTGGGATGCGTTTATTTGTACTTTTGGAATCATATGAAAGGATAGTAGAGGTAAATTGCAATCTATAACTGCTTCAAACAACAAAGTGTATGCAGGAAAAGTGATTAAGATTGCACGACTGTCTGTGTCTTATGTGTTGTGTTGTGTGATTTTGTTATTTTGACTTCAAGATGGCGCCGCGAGAGTGGCTGCCTTTCCAGCAGCTCCTATATTTTGTTCTAATACTTTTTCCTTTCATAACTTTGCTGCTGTGAATTGGGAATTTCTCCATTGCGAGACTAATAAAGGATTTCTTATCTTAAAAAAAGTCTTTGATGGAGGGTGTAGTATGGTCATTTTAATATCGCCCTTATCATGACATCTCTATTTCATTGACCTCTATATATGCATATGTGTATCATGTATTTATTTATAAACTTGTCAATCTGTTTTGTTTTTTTTGTTTTTTTTGCCACAGACCTTCCCAAAGCAGCCATGAGGATCCTGAGTAACGTGACCTTCCTGTTCGTCAGCTTGTCCTACACGGCCGAGAGCGCCATCGTCACTGCCTTCATCACGTTTATCCCCAAGTTTATCGAGTCGCAGTTTGGGATCCCTGCATCCAGTGCCAGCATCTACACAGGTGAACACTGGTGAATTTTATCTTTCATCAAGACAGAGCAGCACTAACATTTGTTGTCTGTATGTTCTGGCACGTTACATGCGTCCAGGCGTGATCATCGTGCCGAGCGCGGGCGTGGGCATCGTGCTGGGCGGCTACATCATCAAGAAGCTGAAGCTAGGCGCCCGCGAATCGGCCAAATTGGCCATGATCTGCAGCGGCGTGTCGCTGCTCTGTTTCTCCACGCTCTTCATTGTGGGCTGCGAGAGCATCAACCTGGGTGGCATCAACATACCCTACACCACCGGGTAGGTCCAGAAAAAGGAACGCCGCCTTGCCGTAGAGTCAGCGGCAGTTCTCGCCGGCCCATCTGTGACTGGTGGCGGACATGTTGGTGTCACGGCAGACTCGCGGAAAGTGAGCCAGGATGCACGGTGGCCGTGGAACAAATCCAGGGGGAGGGTTGTTATATAGGAACTTTGGCAGCACGCCCACTTCCACATCTCTCTCTCTCTCTCTCTCTCTCTCTCTCTCTCTCTCTCTCTCTCTCTCTCTCTCTCTCTCTCTCTCTCTCTCTCTCTCTCTCTGAGCTGAGTTCAGGATATGGTGTGTGCTTGGTTGGAGAATCAGTCATTTCTTTGATTAGGTCGTTAGCTTCTAGGTTAGCTAGCTAGCTTGTAATGTGGTAGTTGGTTGGTTATATGGTTAGCCATTGTTGGCTAGTTTGTTAATTTGTTTGTTTTGTTTATTAGTTGGTTGGTTGGCTTTTTAGTTAGCTAATTAGTTAGTTGAGCAATATGGTTGGCAATGTAGTTAGGTGGTTTGCGACATGGGGTTGTAGTTGAGGTAAGCCATTTTAAACTAAAAAGAACAAACTTTTCCGGAGTTAGAAGCAGAAGTTTCAAATCCAACCGGAAGTCGTTCACTTGCCGTCAACACAATTAGGGAGCTGCTCTTTTCTTAATCTCAGTTTTTGTTCAATACATTTCACAAAAAAAAAAAAAAAAAAAAAAATTCTTCTTCATGATGTCTTTTTTGACTGGCGACTTATACGCAGGAATGACTTTTTGTCATGAAAACAGAATAGTTGGTTACATGGTTGGTTAATCATTTAGTTTGGGAATTAGTTGTTCAGGCCCTCAATCCTCTCAACTTTTTATTTGTTGCCCAAATGATTTTTTTCCATGTGTACAAAGCAAATGATAACTGAAAATCGTTTTATAATGTCAACTTTGTTGTCGTCGTCGTTTAAGGCCCACGCTGACGATGACACAGAGGAACCTGACGGGCGGCTGCAACGTCAACTGCGGCTGCAGAATCCACGAGTACGCTCCTGTCTGCGGCTCAGACGGCATCACTTACTTTAACCCCTGCCTGGCAGGGTGCAGCAGTGTCTCCAACGACAGCAGCGGCGTAAGACACCGATGTTAATATTGTACCAATCGTCCTCCAGTCTGCACATTAGTTGCCTTGACCCCTTGAAAAAAAAGCCAACCACATCAAAACAGTCAGCGTCTTGTTGTGGATGTTGTTTGCCCAGATCCGCAACTACTCTGAGTGCGCGTGCGTACAGAGCCGCCAGGTCATCACACCATCATCAGGAGGACCGGGCAGCAACCAGTTGCAGCTGGTCATCGTCAAGACGTACCTAAACGAGAACGGATACGCCGTGTCGGGGAAGTGCGATCGCACCTGCGGGACCCTCATCCCCTTCCTCATCTTCCTCTTCATTGTCACGCTCATCACCGCCTGCGCTCAGCCCTCTGCCATCATTGTCACGCTGAGGTATCGCAAAAACTGCTATGTTTTTAATTGAAAAAATATATTTTTTTTCTTTTTTGAAAAAAAATTAAAGAATGTCAATGGTTCAAGTTTTGTTTTGCCCAGTCAAGCAATACACGAGCAAAACAACTTGACTCATCATGAACTACCTATTATATGTACTCCTCCACTACAAAATACATATTCAATCATTTATATATTTTTCTTTTATGATCAAGTATGCTATACAAGCAGATGCGAGCAGCTAGCATGCTAACGGGTGTGTTTGTGCAGGTCAGTGGCTGAGCAGGAGCGACCGTTTGCGTTGGGAATGCAGTTTGTTCTCCTCAGGACGCTTGGTGAGTACAAACAAATCTCAGGAGGATACTGAATATTTTGCAGGAACCGGTGATGCGTTTCTAATAAGAAAAATAACACTTTATAATGTCCTTCAAATAAATAAATAAATAAATAATCAGTAATACAGTAATCGAATAGAATTGGAAAGAATTCAATTGATCCACTGCTCCTTCTGGTGTTTGTGTCTCTACCACCGGAGGGCAGTATAATACAGACGTGGATAGAGTTATATAAAAGATGTCTCAGCTGCTCTGTCAATGAAATTTGTCGTTCCTCGCAGAGGATAAAGAATATGCCTGTGAATATTGTGATATTGCCTGTCTACATATATGATTCACAGCTTGTTTTGTTTTTTTAAGTCTGTATTTTAATGAAGAAAATTAGGACTGTGTTGTAAAATATGGATTCAAACCACACATTAAAAGAGAATGTAACTTACTAAAAGCAGTCTCACACAACAAACATACACAACATCACAACCACAACTTTGCACTCAAACATCTGTTTTTCGGAGCGTTATAACGCCACCACACAAATGCTAATTGCTATCCACACCTTGTTATTTTGCATTGCTTGTTAGCATTAAGCTAAGCTTCATCCGGCAAAGCGCTGTGGTTGCTTTCAATACGCAACGTTTGTTTTATGCTTCGTTTGAGTGGAATTAAACAGCTTTGTGAAGCTTTGTTTACAGTTTCAAATAATGGTGTACCTAATGAAGTCTCCTTTGTTAGCTCGTTCCGTCTTTTGATCGTTTGACCCGATGGTGTCGTGTCTGTTTTTGGTCTCGCAGCGTACATACCAACACCCATCTACTTTGGCGCCGTCATCGACACCACGTGCATGCTGTGGCAGCAGGACTGCGGCGTGCACGGCTCGTGCTGGGAGTACGACGTTACCTCCCTGCGCTTCGTCTACTTCGGGCTGGCCGCCAGCCTCAAGTTCCTGGGCTTCCTCTTCATCTTCCTCACATGGTACTCCATCAAGTACAAGGAGGAGCGCGTGGAGCGCTGGCTCAAGCGCCACCTGTCGCCCGCCGACACGGTGGGCAGCCTGGTGTGCCACCCGGGGGGCCGCAAGGGTCACGCCCGCACCCGCTCTTGCCCCGTCAACATCCCGCGTAGCGAGCACACCGCACCACCTCCCACCTGCGTGCCGCCGCGCGCCGGCGCCCTCAACCGCGGCGTCAGTACGCAAAGTTGCCCGGGGAACGAGTTAAAAGCCGTAACGCCGCCGCCCGCCCCCGCCGCGCCGGCGCGCTCCTTAGAGCAGGTGGCGGTGCGCGTTTGACCGCCAGCCGATCAGATGCCCAGTCAGCAATTTGCGGAGCTAGCACGAAAGTCTTGGCCAGCTGACTTTCTATACAAGCGTGGTGCTGCAAAAAACACAACAGCGACCCCCAATTGCCCCTCACCCACCACCACCGCCCCAAACTGAACTCAGCCCACCTTCACAATTGCAACACTAATCCGCACGCATGGACATGTTACTCATCATGACATGGTGCTACACAATACTACCACATTTTTGGCACCCCGCCACTGTGTTAAGATACCGAAGGGATAAAGAAATGGACACAGTTTGCCTCACTTGGTACCAAAGTCACCGCAATTTGGTTCCCTGGATCCAATTTGTTTGAAAACCACAGTTAATAGTTAAAAGGGGTATCAAAGGAGGTGTTCCACTTTTTGGCACCCTACCTCAATGAGATTACATTTTTTTGCATTTCAGTGGTCAATATTCCAAAAAGAGGGGTACAAGTGTTGCTTTACCACTTTTTGGTACCGTTTCTGGGTGTTATGGTACCTCAAAGATGGAGCTACAGAGTTTGGGGCATTTTGGTACCCTTCAAAAATGCTACAAAATGTCATTCCCAAGTAGCCATCCCACTTTTTCCCACCTTTTCCGCGGTGTTAGGCTACCCAAAAGATGACGCTAGACAAGCTTTTACCCACTTTTGCGAAGGGTACCAAAATAACCATATAGCTTTTTAACACCCTACTACAGTGTTAAAGTACCGAAACAGGAAAGCGACAGGTCGATCCACTTTATTTCACTCTGGATTTCAATTTGTTTGAATTTCCATGGTCAAAAGTTGTGCGGGATACCAAAAGAGCTCTACCACTTTTCATCCACCTTTCTTCATCTGAGCTAGACAGTTTGCTTTGGGATTCAATTTCCTTGGTTTATGATCGTTAAAAGTGCAAAAAGAAAAGTGCAACTTCCAACAGTGTTATCATTCATAAAACAAGAAGCTAAATCTTTTTTTTTTTCCATTTCGGTACCCTTCACCACTTTGACAATGAACGTTTATTAACCATACCATTTTTGGGGCACCTCTTTCACAGTATTAGGATACCCAAAAGATGAAGCTAGACACACCTGAGGTCACTTCTGCTGTGAAAGGTACCAAAGTAACCATATCACTTTTTGGCACCGTATTGCAGCATTTCGGGTACCTCGGGGGTAATGCTTGATATGGTTTGCTTCACTTTCAAATTGTATTTATTGAATTTCCATAACCAAAAAAATGCTGTGAAGGGAGGGTACCAAAGTTGCTGTATCAATTTCTCCTACACAAGTTTTGACAATGGAAATGAAGTAACTGTACCACTTTTTTAGCACACTCTCACATTGTTACGGTACTTAAAAGGCGGAGCTTGATCGTTTGGTTCCCTTTACAACTTATTGAAAGGAAATAAGCGTGCCATTTTTTGGCACCCTTTCACAGTGTTACTTGGCTTCGATACACTTCACATTTTTTTTTCAATGGAAATGAAGTAACCAGGCCACTTTTTGGCACCCCGCCACAGCAGAACGATTCTACGTGGTTGACACATTCTTAAACGGTGGCAGGGCTCATCAGCCAATCACGTAGTAGATGTTGTTGTCAGCTACTTAGTTTCACCGAGAATTTGACGAAAGTGTGACGTACGGATTGAGTGTTAGCCACTTAGCGCCACGAACTTTATCGAGCCAAGCAATTCCGTGATTTTATTTGAAGTCGGACGATGCGTGTCAGATGCCAATTTACTATGTTGGCGTATTTTACCAACTGCAGCAAATATGGAAAGGGCGTGTGCGACTTTCTAAGTTGCATGTGCGAGATGTGTAAATCGCGTGTGCGACTTGCTTGGTTAATCACGTGTTGTAACTCGCGCACGCGACATAAATCAAATGCGTTCATGCCATCTTTTCAGCCCGTATCTCACTGGGCAGCAAAGTTTTTGCAAGTCTGTGCGCACATAGCGAATGTTTATTTCTTTTTTTGGGTGAGGGTTGATTCAATGGTGCAGACAGTTGCAAAAATGTTCGCCAGACATTCCCAAACAGTTTTAATGGATGCAATTTTTTTTGTCATGTTCAGAATTTCTTTGTGACAAGAAAAACTGTTGAAAACCATTAAAATTGTTGGCAAAAGTCTTGACGACCTTGAACGAACCCTGAGAAAAAAAACCAAACATTTGCTCGGGGCGGACACACTTGCAAACTTTTGCCGCACACTGCGATATGGGCTAGAGGTTACAATGTGAATTAGTTTTTTTTAATCACCTTCTGGTCTTTGATCAACTTACTTATGATCCTCGGGGAAACAAACGTACATGCCCCGCGCGCGGGTGCAATGCATTGTGGGAGAACCTACAGCTATGAGACTCTCAGTCTTTTTTTTTTTTTTTTTGAGGAACACCAAGTGATTTTCAGCCTGTCACCCAGCCAATCCAAACGACGCATTTGATTGGCTTCCAAAAGCAACGTGTGCACATGACCAGCAACCTGTGGCTTTACGAGACCACACCTCCTCTGCTGATTGGTTGTCAAGTCTTAAGTGACACCTGCTGGTGACTTGTGAACCTACACGTGACAACATGAAGGATTTCATCATTGAACTCATTCCCACCATAATGACCCTACTTGAGTCAGGTGATCGTCATGCGACCGACGGGTTGGAGTTGAGAAAAAAAAAAAAACATTTCTGTATTTTTGTTTGTTTTATGAGGTCATCTCACTGGGATGCCGCTTTGGCGTCTTTCCGTTAAAAATGTGAACAAAAGAAAAACAAATAGTAATAATAAAAAGTCTTACCAAGTTTTTGAGCAGTTCTTTTTGTTGCCACTAGAGGACGCAGTCTTGTCGGACATCCATCCATCCATTTTTTTAATCTGTTTATCCTCAAGAGGGTCGAGGCCGTGCTGGAGCCTATACCAGCTGCCTTCGGGCCGGTTTTTAATGTGTATTTTTGTGTACGTGTCTGATTGAATGTACGCATGTTCCTGTGCGTGTGTGATTGTATGCATATTTTGTGTTTGTTTTGTATGCCTATGGTTGTTTGCACGCATGCTTGTATTCATGTTTGACGTGTCCGCACTGTGCCCGCGTTGGTCGGTGCGACTTCAAGGAGAGGCAACGTCTGCTGGAAGTGCGCCGAATTAAACTCCACCTCCCAGGATGCGCCGGGCCATGTACTTCCGGTTTCAACTCGGCCGAGCAGGAAGTGAGTGTTGTGTTAATATTAAACGAAACCTCTGCGCATCTGCTTTAACCTACTGGCGGTTCTTCGGACAAACACACGAAAACACAACAAACGAGACAAACCTGAAGCGCGTTCAAAGGGCAAGGCGCGAGTGAAGGTGAATGTTTTTTTTTTTTAATTTTATTCTTACCTTTACGATGACGACGCGTTTGATGTGCTGATTTGTAGTTTCTGTTTCGTTTCGGCCCGAAAGAGCTTCTGCTACTCAGGCTTTTCTCATTTGACGTGAGGACTAAAATCATGATAACGATGAAGAGGAGAGGAAACATGACATTGTTTGCTAGTTTCAAGTACAGCTAAAAAAAAAAAAAATCTCTCCATCATCTTCTCGGTATTTTTCCTTTGCGTCTTCATCTGTGGTTCTTCTAAATATGATCCACATACTGCACTCTTAGTTAGGTAATGTGTCACAAATGGTATGAGGATGATGATGATGATGATGTCACCATAGAGATACATCACAGCATACCGGGAGAACCTTCTTCAAGAAGTGAGGAGGAATAGAGTTATAAGGGAAGCCGGATGGCTTAATTTGGCAAACCACATCCTCCAAAAATGTCTCGAAAATCAACTCGAAGGAATCCAACACTGCGGAACAAGGAACGTGGACAGGGCCTTCAAATGTGGCATTCCCTGCTAAAGTTGTCGCCCCAGCGACCCGACCCCCGGATAAGTGATAGAGAATGGATGGATGGACGGAAGGAAGGAAGGTGTTCCGTTTTACACTCTTTCACTTTGCTTTGGTAGCAATGTTAGCAGTCCTTTAGGATTTGTTAAGAGAACTGCATCCTGCCTTTTTTCCACCTGCGTTCAGATTTGCAACATTCTTGTTTAGCTGCATGAGTTCCCTCATTAAACCATGGCTCGGGTCTTACTTTTGGCCGCATAGTTTTCATAGAACCACAGAATCCATTGTATTACGGCAAGATGAGTGAAAGGTACCGAAACAGAGCTGGGGATCGATGTCAACAAGCAAATTTGGTGGCTTTCGAGGTGAAATCGGAGACATGATGGTGTCTGTGTGAAAGTACCAGCGCTAATTGTAATGTGTGTGCAGATGCAGTCATGTGACGGGCAGCAAAGCCAGCGTGTGTGTTGACCACGGTTGACTCCAATCAAGCCGGTAGCCGCCAGCGCCGCCATGGACAGCCGATGCAGCAGCAGCGCCGACTCTCGTGTGCCGGGGGTTTACGGGGCCAGGAGCTCCACACCGCTGCAGGCTCGTGTGGACTCGTACGAGGAGGAGAAGAAGAAGTGCATCTCTGACGTCCGGCGGACATTTTGCCTCTTTGTCACATTTGATCTCCTGTTTGTCACCTTGCTGTGGATCATCGAGCTCAACGTGAGAGCGCTTCGCTTTGTCTTGGTCCACTCGTGCCTTTCAATCCTATTTCTGTGTGCACCCACACAGATGATGCGGATTACCGCAATCAGATCGTCACATGTATTTGGCAAGGATACTCGCTTCCTATCGCAAATTCACCCAAATGGCTCTCACAAGCCAAGATGGCCAACTTCCTGTTTGACTCGGGGGCGTGGTTGCTTGAGACATTTTTGTGTGTCCTTTATGATACACGTGTCCACCAAATTTCTTGATTGGGGGGGGGGGCAGATTTATTTTTTTGTTTTCAACTTTCCAGGTGGCTCAACAAAATCTGGAAATGGCTGCTGCAAACCAAAATGGCCGACATCCTGTTCAAATTCAAACATGGGTCCTCATAACTTTTTTGTCCATTCTTTTAATGATAGACCTGCCCACAAAATTTCGTGAAACTGGTGTCGGGTGCTGATTTTTATTTTTATGTGTAAACTTTCCGGGGGCCATGATTGAATGTGAAAGGGCTGCTGCAAATCAAAACAGCCGATGAACTGTTCAAATTTGATCACGGGTCCTTGAGACTTTTTGTGCATCATCCAGTGGTGGACATTTCCGCCCATTTTCGAGTGGGCGAAACCGGTGTCGGAGTCTTAATTTTTTCCAAACATTGAAGTGGGCACTATTGAGTGAGTACTTTGTATGTGCTAGGTGAATGGTGGCCTTCCCCAGCAGCTGAACCAGGAAGTGGTCCACTACAACTACCACCGTTCCTTCCTCGACATCTTTGTAAGAAAACACATGCTAGTTGATTTTTTTTTTCTTGAATGGATTTTGAGTGAACTTTATTACAAAAAAAAAAAAAAATCCCTTGACTTTGTCTTCCTGCTGCATCTCCTCCATTTCTTGCCTTGGCTCCACCTGCACAGCTTCTGGCCGTTTTCCGATTCGCCGTCCTCATTTTGGCCTACGCCGTCTGCAGGCTGAGACATTGGTGGGCGGTTGCTGTGAGTACACAAAACACACCCACACAAAGACAGGACAACCACTCCGACTTTGTCGTGTCTTACTCGTCATGTTGTATTTTTGTTGTGTTCAGATCACCACTTCAGTCAGCTGTGCCTTCCTCATCGTCAAAGTGATTTTATCGAAAGTAAGGCGTCAAGAGCATCATCGGGAAAGTGGAAACATTGTCTCTCTGCCCGTCCATCTGTCTCAAATCCCGTCTTTCTTTCCGTTCCATCGTTGCAGCTGCTGTCGCAGGGTGCTTTTGGATACCTGCTGCCCATAGTCTCCTTTGTGCTCGCTTGGATCGAAACTTGGCTTCTGGACTTCAAGGTCCTTCCTCAAGAGCTCGACGATGAAAACCGTGAGCGAGGCCATCTTGTAGCTCGTCTTCTCCCCTTTGCTTGTGCTTCCCCCTCACGTTCATGCCTCCGCATTGGATTTCGTCAGGGTACCGGTTCATGCCGGACGCTGCCGCCGCAGAGCGGGCTCCTCTCATCAGTCAAGGCCCCATGTCCGACGGCCAGTTCTACTCGCCGCCTGAGTCGGTAGCAGGTGAGCGCCCCCAGTGCACATTTGGTAAACTGCGGTGAACAACAAACGCACCCCACAAGCTTTGCTTCTTCTCCCTTGTCTTCAACAGACACGGACGAGGACCCGGATGACAAACAGGGACTCTTGTGAAGGCTCGGGTAACACCGACGCATGCTGGGAACTAAAAAGTGAAACCGCCGTTATTTTTTTTGTTGTTGTCGTTGGTGGTATCAGTATGCCCAAACAGGAGGTTCTGTGTACCTGCTTTGAACGAAAAAAATTTTGCCTTATGCTTGCACAGACACGCACGCACACTGAATCAAAGTGTTCTTCGTAAAGGGAGATGAGCTTTCGCATGAAGAAGTGAAAATACTCTCGGCCAGTAGGACGCTGTAGTCACGGTCCTAAGACAAACAGTGAACAAATGACCCTGACGGCTTTCAAAATAAAAGTCTGCCTGAGTCCACTGTTAATAAGAGAGCGCACACACCGACACATGCATAAAAACACACACAAACACGTGTCGACTGACAATAGGATGCACACGAAACAACGAAAATGTACACACACACACACACACACAAAAATGGCACATATACTCACAAACTCATGCGCTCAATGCAGACAAAAATTTGCACGCAACACGCTAAAACGTATCCAAAAGGCAAACACATGAATTGTCGCACAGCCAAGCTCAGATCCACTCATGCACATAAAAATGCACACAAACATGCATACACACTTTTAAAAACACACGCACACACACAGAGACACATTCAAAGTATCCCAGCCCAAAGCAAGAAAGACAACATGAGAAAATAAATGAGGGATGGAGCCAACTTTTATTCTGTTTTTGTTTACTCGGATTGAACAAACGGTTGAAGACATCACATACTAAATGTTATTTTTGAAGAGGGGGCACAAAATATCAAATTAGCCAAAACAAACAAACAAAACTTAGGAGTACTAATGTTGATGGTCATTGCAGAGGTGCAACCATTTTCCAATTGTCACCTTTGAAATGAATTAAAGTGCTGTTAATTCATTCCAGACATTCCCCCAAATGTATTTTTTTTTCTTCTGTTAAGTATTGTATAAAAAAAAACATAAACATTTATCCATCCATTTTTCTGTAGATTAAAAATAGAAATTTATAAACTATTTTTTTTTTGTAACGGGTAATTCCTATGCGTCAGGGCAAGCCAAGTCATAACGACAGCTGTAGAGTTTGTAGTGTGCCTTTTAACTCATTCAGTACCAGCCAATTCCAGCCCAAGTCTGAAAAGACGTTTAAAAACGTCTTTGGGAGTGAATGAGTTTTAAAAGGTATGGCCGAGTGATTGACATCAGGAATAAGGCCCGTTAGTCTTCGTGTGAGCATATGGGTGAGTTGTGGCCTACAGCAGCTCCTTTGAGAGGATTCTCATTTTTGTGTTTTTGTGTAGTACTGTTTAAGGTCTGAAAGTGCATCACCGACTGTGAAATCGAGTGGTGGCATATCGAAAGGGCCTATCTCACTGGTCGTGAGACTTGATGGCGACCTGATGTCGAGTCGAGTGTGGCATGACACGAGTCCCCGGGAAATCGCGGTGAATTCAAACGTCGGCCTTCTGTCTGAGAACTTTTGGAGACATATTAAAGTATCCAGCAGGTCTCTGAGACGCCGCAGAGTCTAACACTGCCCGTGGCTGGGGAGAGATCTCACTAGCTGGAAGATGAAGGTGACCCTAATGCGGCAGAAAAGCTTTCATACTGACCACGTGACGAGTGCCCCGAGCGTTAGCGTAAGTGGTCCCGCGATGGTGGCATGCAGTTCCAGACCTCCTGGCATATGCACTGGCAGAATCCATAGACCATCACCATGACGAGGCTGGCGGGGACGAGACTCACTAGCAGGACCCCAACAGTAGTTTGCTGCATGATGAGCAGGTAGACCCCCATGGGTAGCGAGCTGAAGTACAGGAGGCCCAGCACCCACACCAGGGCCCGGGCCGACGTCTGGCACAGCAGGGAGGCGCAGTTCCACAGGTTCCACCCCTGCGCGACGGACGCCAAGGAGTCCTGGCTGGAGGAGCGGAAGCTAGAGACCAGTGGTCCGCCAAGCTGGTCCTGGCCTGGTGAAGGGGCCGGTGGAGGCTCCATAATGGTGATCACCACAAAGTTAGGGGAGCCTCGGATCGAGGAGTAAGCGGAGGCGGAGGAAGGGGACATTGCGGTCGGTTCGCTTCCCATCAAGGAGCTTAGGTGCCGGGGGTTCAGGAGCAGTTCGTCTTGGTGGAAACGAAGGTTCCTCTGGGACCTCTGGTTGCGGCTCCCCAGGGCCAGCGCGGTTAGCAAGTTATAATCATCCGGGAGGCTGCTGGTTGCGTCCCCGAGCGGCCTGGTAACGTAGCGGCAGAAGGGGCAGACGACAGTGCACGGAGGCGACTCCCCCAGGTCCTGGATCTTGACGAGGCACTTGGCGCACAGGCGGTGGCAGCATTCCAGAACCTTTGGCCGGTGGGTCCCCAGGGTATACGCGCAGTAGCAAATCTTGCACTCCAGCTCCTCCACGCTCTGATGCTCCACATGGTTGCTCACCTCCTCAATCATTTCAAATTCCAACCTGCAGCGTGTGGGAGGACGTCGCACATTATCGATCTTCCGGTCTTACTTTGAAAGTTTCAAGCAAGTCCCAAATTACTAAGAAGAAGAGACGATCTGCTTTTTCCATCATCCAAATGTCATGTCGTCGCTCAATACTTGCTTTTCACTCACACAGAAAAGCATTCTCGAGTTGAGTCGCATCGAAACCAAGTCAAAGTCAGATGGAGTCTTTCAGGAATTTTAGCCGACCAAGTCCTAAAATTGGCGACTTAAGTCATGTGACCAACCTGACTGAAGCTCAGCAGGAGAGTCCCACCAACTGGACCCTGGACGACCAATAATGGGTCACCAAGTTCCCGTTCATGAAGGCAAGCCCCGACACCTCTGGAGTCTTCAGGATCATAGCGCTGCAAGTTGTCCTGGCAGGCTAGAAGCCCCCGTTGAGGTTCTGCCTGAGGACTTTCGCTTGTGTAGTGGTCTGTGAGCTTCGCTATTGGGGGGTGGGGGGGGTTAAAGACCCTTTCAAGGGGGAGCGTGTGAGCGAGAGAGATAACTGTTAACACAGCACACAAGAGAACAAACAGAAGGCAAAGGGACAACAAAGGCCAGCCTGTGCAAAGCAGCGCTGGAATTTTCGAGCCGGCTCTTTTCTTGCTCAGTCAAATTTGCTCCAATTAGTGGCTAGCACACAAAGTGACCTCCTGTCCGTTTGGCCAAGCGCATACACAAATGCACGCAGACACGCACATTGGGGGTGGGGGGGGGGGGTCCCTGAAGGTGCTATTGGGATGTTCACAGCTTCCAAGTGGCCCAGAGGACACGACATCCATGATTTGTAAAAATTATTTGAAATGTGGTCTCCTCAGACCACAGGACACGTTTGCCACTTTTCAATCCATCTCTAGAAGGGACCCAGAGAAAGCCGACAGTGTTTCTGCGTGTTGTTGATGAGATGACTTCGCTTTGCTTGGCGGCGCTCTCGCTTGCATTTATAGTACTGATACTCTTTATTATTGTGCTTTCCAAAAACATACAGTCATGATATGATTAAAGAGAATGTCAAACATGAAACGGTTTGCCCGTCATGATTCAATCCTTCAATTTATTGTCCTCCCTGATTCTGAAAGAAATTGACACCTTGTCTGCCACGCCTTCTGTCTTTGATTGGGTATTCTTCTCTCACCCAGTAAAGCCGGAGAAAACGAAGTCTGGACACAACTTATTTTTTTCCCCTGGTGTAGCAGCAATACGCTTCTGTAATATTCTGTCATCTTTCTGACTTGTGGTTTACATCATTAGATTGCTACCATCTCATATGCCTCATGTGGGCAAATGTTGACAGTTAGCAAGGAAACGCTGAATGCAATGCACTTTTATTTGTCCGTATCAGTCGATCAAATTAAATGAACCGGTGAGCGAGGGGGGGGGGGCGGTTACTGGCAGAGTGGTACTACACAGCAGTCTTATCGCATCCAACTACTTCCAGGATCGACAAACTGATGCTGTGATAATGACGGAGGAATAAGTACTCACGGCCTGCCTCGTCTGTCAGCGTGGGAAAAAGTACTGTCAGAAACTTATTACTCAAGATCAGTGGTCCCCAAACTACGGCCCGCGGGCCGGATCCGGCCCGCCTCCGCATTTGGTCCGGCCCCCTGAAAATACCACTGAGTAATTTGATTTATTTTTCATCGATGTGGATTTGTCTTTGATCATAAAGTTGGGCTTTTGCAATAAAATGTTCCTTAGTTCTGAACCGTTTTCATTTTTAACTATTAATTAGTAACTATTTCATAAACACAGATACAATAAGGTGACATTTGGTGCATCTTTCTGTGCCGTTATCTGGCAACGCCAGAAAAAAAAAAATCCGAAACCGGCCCCTCTCTCAGAGAACGGGATCATGGCGAAAAGGTTCGGTAAGAGAAAAA